AATTCCCTCATAAGTGTCCAAGTCAGAGATGCCTATGGATCAACAAAGCAAAGAGAGAGAGAGAGAGGGGGGGTTTGAAAAAAGTGTATTTTACCTGGCCACAATTCTTCTTCTTCTGCCCACTAAACTTGGGAGATGACTTCGAAGAGTGTTCCTGGCTCACATGTTCCCCCTGCACATCCTCATCCACCGGACCTACACACAAATGAAACATAACAAATTGGTGACAACTTGTATCAGTGAATAGCTATAGCAGGTTCAACGACTGTTACGCCCTGTTCTTCAGCATTACTTCAGCAGTACTTTTCAGTGAACGAACAATATTTTTCTCTCACAACAAATCAGCATAAGCATTAGCATAAGCCAAATTTCAGCGAGATAGCATTACCGTCTCCCAACCCTGCTTAAACCATATGCAGACGTGCAAGGTTTAAAATGGTAACGACAGCAAGTGTAGAAATCTTACTGAAATCACATACGCCCTTAGAAGCAGAAGGAACTTCCACATCCGGTCCCAAACCAACAGCAGCCTGCAAACCAAGCCAGAAATGGTACTCTGAATAATAACCGATGGGATGTAGCTCATAAAGGGAGCGAACAAAACCTATGCAGTACGCACACAACTGAGGAACCGAAAGCACACAAAAAATATCAAACACCATAGCTCGTTTTCGTTGCACGAGGAGAGGAGCGAGCTAGTAGGCGTGCATACCTTGGCCGTCGGACAGGTGATTCGGAAGTTCGCCCCATCATTCACTTGTGCGCCGGTGCTGCACTCACCAAAGCACCGCGCGAACTCGCTGCACAGCTCCTCGGACCTTTGGCGGTCACCTAGAGACTCGGGGGCATGTGGCGCTAGCGCAAGGGAGTCGGAGCTGGCATCGACCGCGCCCTCGTGAGAGAAGTAGGACAGAAACACGCTATACCAGTCGATGTTGCTCCACCTCCGCACCATGGCCGCCGCCGATCGGCCTATGATCAAGGAGGGGGGAGATTCAAACGGGGGTAGGTGGTATGGGAATGGCCGACTGGGGGGTTTTGCATTCTGGGGTTTTGTGCAAGTGAAACGCACGCAATGAGCATGAGTGGAAGAAACGGAGGTTTGGCACTTAATTTTGTCGCTCAGCTAAATCATCAGCTTACGTCGAAGGTTGGGCTGCGGCGTGGGCGCGGGTTTGATAGTGCTGGGCCTTATGGGCCGGCGTCAGTTACCGGACACTGTTAGCTAGGCCCAGACCCGCTAAGGTCATGTTTGTCCCGTTATATGTGTCGTTTTAGCTTTCTACCAGGTACAACAAAGATTCTCTAAACCTGGACATACGGTGTGTCTGGATACATGGAACATGTTGTGAATCTAGACACTTAAATGCATTGACAGAATGACAGATATAGTGGCCGGCTCCTTTAAATTCAAATGGGATCCAGCTAATACTTTAGCTGATTGTTAGCTAATAACCAATTAATAATTATTTCACTAATTGGGCAAAACAAACTAATAGTAATTAGTTGCTTTCAATCCAAGCAGGATCTAGCTAATAGTTTAGCTAATTGTTAGCTAATACCCAATTAACAACTATTTAACTAGCTGGGCAAAACAAGCTAATAGTAATTGGCTGCTTTGAATCCAAGCAGGATCCGGCTAATAGTTTGGCTAATTGTTATCTCCTACAATTAAAAAGAACAAAGTGTGGATATTTTTTGGTGCGATATTTGTTTTGGTTCGTCCGTCTGCCCACGCCTGTGATACCATGACATCTCCTTAATTGAATATTGCCTGTCATGTGATAGAGGAATCACGGCAAAATAGGAAGTAGAAAATTATTGTGCTATGCATATACACATTGCATGTTTGCATGCACCAGCATACATGGCAACGAGCAAAAGGAAAGAGAATTAACACAGAAGGAAAGAGAATTAAGACAAAAGGAACCTCTTTGCATTTCTGAGAACCTTACCAAATCTGTCTACATTTAATTACTTCCCCTCTTTGTATTTGCAAAAGAGACAGCTTTTTCCTCCTTTCATTTGGTTTCACGCTCACGTGTTCCATCGCCCTCGCTTGCTGTTTCTTGCGTGAACCATAGTTGATGTCATCTGTCTTCCATGGCTCAGCCTCCCAATCCCAAGAGAAGGTCCCTACCTCTCCCCGACTGGAGATCCGGCCTGCTAGAGGATCTCCTCGAGTCCATCGGGCAGCGTCTCGCGTCAGGCCATGACTCGGCGTCCTTCCGATCCGCTTGCTCCCCATGGCACGCCGCCGTCCGGTTCGCGACCTTCGGGCCTCTCCTGCTGCTCCCGTTCGACCCCGACTCGGACCGCGTCGGCTTCTACTACATCCCAAAGAAGAAGGTCTTGTCCAAGACGCTGCCCGACATGCGCGGTAAGGTGGCGTGCGGCTCCTCGTGTGGGTGGCTGGCGCTCATGGACGAGGCGGCGTCCGTGACGCTGCTGAATCCATTCGCCGGTGCCCGTGCCCCCTGCGTTGAGCTCCCGCCAACAGGCGAACATGTCGTGGCGGCGTCCTCATCGGAACGCGTGTCTAGGGTCCACGGTCGGTGGGTCCTCCATCCCACCAATGGCTACGGGGACGCAGATGCCACAGACAGAGCCATCAAGCTAGAAGACATGAGGGACGTGTTCTTCCGTGAGATCGTGCTCTCGGCACCGCCTGACGCCGCCGGCCACGAGTGCGTGGCCATGGCCATGCTTGGGTGCTCCACGGAGGTCGTGTTCTGTCGGGTTGGAGTCGACAGCGCATGGACGCTGCTCGACACCAAACTGGAGTTCTTCGTGGGGTCCATCGTCCACTGCCAAGACAAGTTCTTGGCGATCGACTACACTAGAGAAATCTCCGTCTGCAGCAGCAACGCCGCTGGCGCTACTCCAACCACGACGCTGCTGCCATCGCTGTTGCCACCGGCTAGGCTCTACCACCACAGCTACCTGGAATCAAATGGTGAGCTGCACATTGTGGGTGCCATGGTGAGCACGTTCCACAAGACACAGAGCTTCACCTACAACAGCGCGATCTACAAGTGCAACCTTCATGACCGTACGCCGGAGTGGTCCAGGGTGAGGGACATCGGTAATCAGACACTGTTCGTCTCTAAACATTTCAATGAAAGCTTCAGTGGAACAAGTGTATCCAAGTACAAGGAGAACAAAATCTACATGTCTGAGCTATTGTATGGGGATCCATACGACTTGGTCTATCGACTGGAGATCATTAATATTGCTACCGGCACATCCGAAGTGAAGCCCATCTAGGAAAAGATGCAGGGTTCCGAGGCTTTAGGTTGGATTCGACCCAATCTCTGGAAGTTCTAGAGTTTGTGAGCCTGCGACGCCGCGCACTCTGCGACTGTGTTAAATTCATAAACTTTGATTTTCGGATTAAATATCACTTTAACGTTGGTATTTAATTTAACAGTATTGTTATCTTATCGTGCGATCCATGTGTTTTTAGTATAAATTGTTAGTTATCCCATGGCAACGCATGGGCACGCTACCTATAACAGTCAAATATTAAATATAAAGAAGGGTGGCCTTGTTATACGAGTCTTATATGAAGCAAACTGATAATTCAAAGAGATGGTTAGTTCTAAAAGGTTGATGAATCAATTAATCTTGTTACGATGATATGAACTTTTATGTGTGTATGAACAAATGTACAATACTATAAATGCATATTACGATGATTGCAAACAATCACTGAGAATTTTAGCCATGCACAAAATTCAATTTATAATATTGATATTCCGAACATCACGCTTGTATTATCGTTTTTTGTAACAGTGCAACACGTTCATGCTCAAATTATCAAGGCATTATTTGTTTATGTTGCAACGCATGAAAAGCTTTATACGGTAGAGTTGGTGAGTCTACGACGCTGCGCTCTCCGTGACTGTGTTAATTTCATGAACTTTGTTTTTTATTTAAATACCACTTAAGTCGGTATTTAATTTCACTTATTGTTATCTTATCATGCGATCCGTGTATTTTCCCGTAGCAACGCACGGGCACGCTACCTAGTCTAATACCCAATTTACAATTATTTCACTAGTTGGGTAAAACAAGCAAATAGTAATTAGCTGCTTTGAATCCATACAGGGTCCAGCTAATAGTTTAGCTAATTGTTAGCTAATACCCAATTAACAATTATTTCACTAGTTGGGCAAAACTAGCTAATAATAATTAGCTGCTTTGAATCCAAGCAGGATCCATCTAATAGTTTAGCTAATTGTTAGCTAATACCCAATTAACAATTATTTTACTAGTTGGCAAAACAAGCTAATAGTAATTAGCTGCTTTGAATCCAAACAGGATTCAACTAATAGTTTAGCTAATACCAATTAATAATTATTTTACTAGTTGGACAAAACCAGCTAATAGTAATTAGCTACTTTGAATCCAAGCATGATCCAGCTAATTGTTAGCTATACCCCATTAACAATTATTTCACTAGTTGGGTAAAACCAGCTATAGTTAGCTATGAGCTATTAGCTAGTTAACTATTACGATTAATGGATCAGGGCCTAAATATGATAAAGGGCTGGACGGACTGAAGGGATGTGTGAGGTCAGATTGTTAGGTTTTGGTTTAAAAATTGAACAAAATTCAGAAGCGTACCTGCAAACAAATTCGGAACAGGTTGCTGCATTTCCCTATTGAAGAGTAGTGAAATTTATGGGTGCATTGACCTGATGAAATTGATGAAAAATGACATGTTGTCAAGTGGTATGCAATCCACTAGTTTCATATGCTCACACAGTCACACACAAACAGCAGCACAGATTGACAATTTGAAGAGGATTCATACTAGCCTAGGGAAACGTCAGACATTGCACTACATGGTCCAACAAGAGGCTATGATAACTACATCTGGGAAACGAATACCACATAACTAGCACTAGAAAAACAGACCACTCGACGACACTGTCAACCGTCATGCATGCTGTCAGTTGCTGTGTACATGCAGCGCAAACAGCACAAGCCGCAGTTCACTGGTTCCCGACCTCCATGAGGAGACAGTACTTCCTCATGTCCTCAGGCAGCGCCATGAGAGATCTGAACAGACGATCATCGCGGATGAACGTGCTGTACGCTCTCAGTAAATCAGCACGCTCCAACCTGGGTATCTCTCTGAGCGCCTCAAAGATTTCTTCTGGGGGAGCAGGTTCCTTGTCGTCATTCTTCGTGGTAGCACGAGCAACCCTTTTGCGATTGCCATCAACCTACCAAACAGAACACAGGTTTGTTAATCCCTTGTCCACCACGCCCTCGGAATTTGTGTTTGTTCACATCGGTTGCTACGTTCACAATTACCGCATCCTAGTTTCAAGAGATGCCTACAGATGATAAACGAGGTAAAGGAAATACACTACATGATACCTGCACATGAATCTTCTTTCTTCCAACTAAAACAGGAGATGACTTCAACCGATATTTACAGTTGCAGGGCACCTGTCCCACCCGCTCATCCTCTCAAACTACAAACAGAGTGACACAACACATCACTGACAGTACGTATTAATGAATTGGAACACAAGCAACAACCGGTCTATGAATAGACAGCATTTTCTGAGACAATTTAGTAACCCAATCACATTTGCCCAATATTCCCCAATACATCTCTTGGTAATGCCGTAATGGTGGGCGTGCAACAACCGGGGTCTATGAATAGACAGCATTTCCAGAGATAATTTAGTAACCCAATCACATTTGCCCAATATTCCCCAATACATCTCTTGGTAATGCCATAATGGTGGGCGTGCATGGTTAAAAATGATAGTGACAGACGCAATTGTGGAAATCTTACTGAAACTGTGTAAATTCTCCTCGGCAGCGGAATGAGCATCCAGCCCCGGATCAGCAGCAGCCTGCAAACCAAGCGAGCAACGGTTCTATCAATGACCGACGATGTGGCCCAAAGGGGCAAAGGGCACACACCTGACTGAGGAACACAATGCAGGCTATCTTTCACAAATAGACAGAACACACCTGAGGAACACAATGCGGCGATTCGAACCACCGGCAGCGGCGGGGGCCTGGGTTCCCCAGAGGCTGTTCGTCGTCAGATGACGACCTCCCGATGGCCCCTGCGCCCCCCCCGCCCGTGCCAAATTCCGCGCCGCCGACCCCGCCCTTGTTGCAGCAGCATGCGGCGCCGCGGAGGGGGAGTCGAAGCAGACCTCGTCCTCGACGCCGGGGTAGGAAGGGCATCCGCCAAGTCGCTCAAGGTGACCACGACCCGCCCCATCGCCGCCGCCACCAATCACCGCCGCCGATGAGCCCCACGGTGTTAGGGCTTCAAGGTGACACATGTGGAGATGTCCTGGTTTGTGAGCATCGTACGTGACAACGTGCTCAAAACTTTTTCAAATTTTTTCCACGGCATACACATACGATATGGCGACAACTCGACAAGTTTCATGATTTTCGGAATTCGTTCGCATTTTATACAATTAAAAAACCACTCCCACGCAAGTTGGCGGCGTTGCCCCGTGAGCACGTTGATCGAAATTTCGAGACAGTTCCTGGATTTAGCCTAAATTTACACTAAGAAACAAGGATAACATTTTTTGAACGAATGTAATCCATTATTCGATGCACCTGCAGTTCAAACTTACATTTTTTGGAAAAAATCAACAAAACTAAATAAACTATAGAAATATGCCAAAAGGCAATGAAAATGTCCCAAATTTAAACATATTATTTGTGGTAGTGTACTAAAGCTTCAAAAAAAATTGGTGGCAAAAAACAAAAAAAAAATTATTTTGCCGAGTGCCTAGGGTTGGCACTCGGAAAAGAGCTGCTGAATTTTTTTTAAAACTTCGCCGAGTGCCAGATCATGACACTCGGCGAAGAAAATTGACTTTGCCGAGTGCCGCCGATCTGGCACTCGGCAAAACCACCCTTATCCCTTCACCCGCGCCTGGCCGGCTCTCTCTCTCTCTCTCTCTCTCTTTCTCTCATTTCTCTCTCCCTCTCACCTCTCTCTCCCTCAGCCACCGCCGCCACACATCGCCGGCCCGAGCCTCCGCCCCGGCCACCGTGCCTCTCCGCGTGGCCCCCCGCGGCGCCCGTCCCCGTCCGCCTCCCCGCGCTGGTGCCTCACGTGGCGGCCCACGCGGCCCGTCCCCGTCCGCCTCCCCGCGCCGGGTCCTCGCGCGGCCGCCGCCCCCGCCCGGCCTCCACCGCCCGTGCCGGCCCCCTTGGCGGCCACCTCCCCCACCTGCGCGCCCCCCTCAGCGGCCACCTCCCCCGTCGACGGCCACTGCCCCCGCCGGAGGGTACTGCAGAAGAGAGGAGGAGGAGGCAGGGGAGAAGAGAGGAGAAGGGGAGAAGAGAGGAGGAGGGGAGAAGAGAGGAGGAGAAGGAGAAGGAGAAGGAGAAGGAGAGGAGAAGGAAGGTGCCGGCCTAGGCCCGTCGACCCTCACGCCGCTGAGGTCATCCCCGCCGTCGTCGCCGACCCTCGTTGTTGCCATTCTCGTCGCGAAGGTATGCCCTACACCTGTAGTAGTTGGTAGTAGTTAGTAAGTAGTAGTAGTTAGTAGTGTTAGTAGTATTGTTAGTAGTAAGTAGTGATAGTAGTAGTGTTAGTGGTAGTAGTGTTAGTGTTAGTAGTAGTTGTAGTGGTAGTAGTACTTGTTGTTGTACTACTTCGATACTTTCATCTGCATGGAAAGAGAACTAAAGTACATGGCTCGTCTTGGTATATATATATTTGTTGGCCTTCGTGCCTATGTTTTGTATATATGTGGTTGTTGGCCATCGCGCCTACGTTTGTTGCAGGTTTTGGAAATCTCCCCGTGCAGGGGAGGTGCTGCCGAAATTTTCAATGGATTCTAACCTATTGCCTTTTTATGTAGGAGAAGGACCCGTGGGAAGGACTCGGTGACCCCAGTCGCTGCTTGCTCCAGTTGTGGCTCCTCCTCCTCCTGTAGGGACTCCGGTGAGTATATATGGTTGTTTATTCCTTTAGCTTGTGCGGCCCTCCTGTAGATACTCATGAATTCGCTTCTCCTTTGTGCAGCCACAGTCGACGGGTTCGAACCCGACTCCTCAAGGTGGCCCTTCTCCACAGGCCGGGTGGCCAACTGGCCCTCCTCAAGGTGGCAGTTCACACTCCGGGTGGGGAGGCTGGCAGTAGGTACCGTTTATTTGTTTCTTTTCATGTTGCATGGACTTGTGTTAGACTTAGCCTTATGTTGGACTACTAGAGACATATATATATATATATTGTGATGGATATTGTCATGGATGATGCGAATGTATGTGATGGATTATGGACAATGGATTTGTATGTGATGTATTATGGATGGTGGATGTGTATGTGATGGGTTATGGATATGTATGTGATGGAATATGGATGTGTATGTGATATATCCTGTGCTGTGTGTTGATATATATGTGATTTCTTTGTTTGTGCTGATGGAAAGCAAAAAACAAAAAAAAAGTATTTTCCCCCTCTTTGCCGAGTGCCACACTCAGCAAAGAGGGCTTTGCCGAGTGCCGTGACCATGACACTCGGCAAAGCTAGGAAGCAGAGACCCAATTTCCCAGCATTGCCGAGTGCCAGAGCCATGGCACTCGGCAAAGATTTTTTTTAAAAGAAAAAATTTCTTTGCCGAGTGCAAGAGTATGGCACTCGGCAAAGAATTTTCAAAAAAAAAGAAAAAAATTCTTTGCCGAGTGCTGCTGAGGTGGCACTCGGCAAAGAGGCTATCAGAGTTGACGTCGGATTTTATTTTGCCGAGTGCTGACGTGACACTCGGCAAAAGCTTTACCGAGTGCCCGATATGTGGCACTTGGCAAAGAAACTTTTGCCGACGGGTTCTTTGCCGACTACTCTTTGTCGAGTGCGGCACTCAGCAAAGCCTTTGCCGAGTGCAATAGGGGCTTTGTCGAGTGCCCTAAGCACTCGACAAAGAGCCCGTCTGCAGTAGTGTGTGTATTTAATAAAACACTCGGCAAACATATAGCACTCGGCAAACGAAAACTTTGCCGTGTGCCTAATATAAAACATTCGGCAAAAGCAAACTTTGCCGTGTGCCAAATATAAAACACTCGGCAAACTACAAAAAACTCTAGGCAAAAATGGACACTCGACAAACTGGAGTCACGCGCGCTAGGCGTGCGGCGGCCATCTAACGGCCATTGGGTGCGCCATCCTACCGTTAGAACTTTGCCGAGTGTCCGTTAGAGACACTCGGCAAAGACAAGGTATGCCATGTGTTTTTTATTGACACTCGACAATCTAATTTGTTTGCCGAGTGTTTTTTGTTTACACTCGGCAAAGTAACATTGTTGCCGAGTGTTTATTAATGGCACTCGGCAAAATATTTTTTTTTCTCTCCTGCCCTCCAAACTTTTTCTACTCTCCACATACATCATGTGGTACTACATGTTAAAATTTGATATATTTCTCCATCTATTTGCTATATTTAAGTAATTTATTGCATTTAGAGGAATTTTTTGGTTTAAGTCAAATTTGAACTGCAAGTTATACAAATAATGGAATAAATTGAGTGGAGAAATCATATTCATGTTATTGAGTCCATTTTGGGGCCTTACTAGGGAAATAAAAAGAATTTTTGAATATTTTATTCAGGAAACACGACCACGAACGTGTGGCAGGATGGTTTTTAAATTCTAAAAAAAGCAAACGAAGTCTGAAAATGACGAGATTTGTCAAGATCTCCTGGTATCATACGTGGAGACTATGAAAAAAAATTGAGAAGGTTTCGCACAATTTATCACGTAAGACCTTTACAAACACAAGCATCTCCGTACAAGAATCGTAGCGTTTGAAAGGATCCGATAAGATTTGGAGTCAAAATGACGGTCAAATCGGGCTTTGACTTTAAAACTTTTTGTATAGGCAATAGACAACATAGATTGGTTCACGTCAAATTTTGGTAATTTTTCAGATCAGTTTGATAATTTTAATTTATTAACTGCAATTATAGAATTTTAATTATATATATTGAATCGCCGAGTGTTTTGTACCTGACACTCGCCGAAAAGATCAGTTGCCGAGTGTCATATAGGGGACACCCGGCAATTTCGTCGACCGGACCCAATGGAACATAAAAAAGAATAATGTCGAGTGCCCCAGATCTTGGCACACGGCAAAATATAGATTTATTTTGCCGAGTGTTTTGTACCTGACACTCGGCGAAAAGAAGAGTTGCCGAGTGTCATATAAGGGACACTCGGTAACTTCGTCGATCGGCCCCACTGCACAGTATCGGCCTGTAATGAAACATTAAAAAAAACAATGCCGAGTGCCCCAGATCTTGGCACTCGGCATATTCGTTCATATACCCCCACCCCACCGCGCCCCGCCGCGCCCGGCCCTTCACACACACGCCGCACCGCATGCCGCCACCCGCCGTCCCCTCCCCGCCCCACCGCGCCCCGCCACCAGCGCGGCATCGCTGCCCCGCCCCCGGCGCCGCCCGCCCTCGGGGCCCTGCCCCGCCCAGGGCGCCGCCCGCCCCCGGCGCTTCTCGCCCCCAGCGCCGCCCGCCCTCGGTGCCCCGCCCCGCCACCGGCGCCGCCCACCCCCGTCGCGTCCCGCCCCCGGCGCCCCGCCCCGCCCCCGGCGCATCCCGCCACCGGCGCCGCCCGCCCCGGTAAGATTTTCTAAATGCGCCACCAAGGATTTAACAATATTTAGTCTAGCTTTGGATTGATAACTGCATTCCTTCGCTTCCATAAGTATTTGGAGATTAGGGATAGAACAGAGACGAACATTTTTCTGTGACGAACATTTTTCTAGTTTAAGCATCTTGATGAACATTTTTCTGTGACTTTGTGTCTGTTCTTTTGTTACTATAAGTAGGATTACCCTGCATCACTGTAGATCCCTAGTTTGAGCCCTTTCACATGCACATAGTCTGCCAAGGCCGTTACTCCTGATGGGAATGTTGACGCATTTGCAGTCAGGTTGCTCTGTAGAAATTCAGAAAGCTAGATTACTACTAGTTCTTTTGGTACTCTGCATATATGATTGTACCGCCATTTACTCACCTGGGAATCCCTGTCATAGGCTGCCCAGTAATCATCTGCAGTTTCACAAATGTTGAGTTCTCAGGAAGTTTCAACTGGGCAAAAGAACAGCAGGGTCATTAGGAAATTACATTCTGTGGAGTGTTTGGTAACTAGAGAACGATGAAAAATTACTTTGATTAATGGTGCACATGTGCGGTGTTTTCCTTTCCCATCTTTCTCATGCTGCTGGGGGTTGTCTGA